CCCTTGCCCTGTGTCCCGAAAATACTCATCAACTTGGCCATCAGCTGTCCCATGGCACGTCCCCGGGCTGGGCAAGGGCAGGACTCCGCGGTCTCCGGCACCGGAGTCCGCCTGGTGCTGGGAGCCCCGCCCCTGGGGGCGGGCCCGGCAGTTTGGCCTGGGAAGGCCGGGAAGTCCCACCCGTTACCAGGCACAACTAAACTCCCCTGGAACGCTGTCCCTTTGTGGGTGCTATGACCATCACGGTGACAAAGGGGCTGCCTGTCCAGGGTCCTGGAGGTGCAAGGAAGATGGGGCCCAGAGCTCCCACTCTCCCCTGAGAAACTCAAAAAGCGGCAGGGATCTGGACGAACTGCTTCGCCTTCCCCTTTAAATGAAGTGTCACAGCACAGTGCCCAGAGGTCCTCCCTCTGAGAGCCCTGTCTAGGGCGCTAGACTGAAGCAAAACCCCAAGCTACCCACCCTCTGCACCTACCAGTGTGGGACAGACAGGGCTCCCTGACGCCCTCTGAGCCTGAGCCAGGACTGTATTTCCCATCCTCAGGCTCCTCGCTGACTCACTAGGGTGGGTTTGTAGTCCCGCTCCAAACAGGTTCCCCTGGGGAAGGGCAGTGCGGTACTTCCTTTGCCGGTCGTTTGGTGCTGGGCAACTGCTAGGGGTAAATCAGTGCTGCTTCTACAAGTCCGACCGCCAGGGGTGTGGGTCTGAGACAAGGAGGAGCGAGATCCTCCAGCCCAAGACCCTATGGAGGGGTCTCAGATTCTAAGATCCAGCAGAGGAGAATATGGAGAGAACTAGGCCAGGCTGGAGGAAGGGGAGGGAGAGAGAGCAAATTTCCATCTTTGCTTAAACTGGGAAAAAACAGAAAACAAAAAGAGAAGTGGTAAAGGCACTAACTCATGGTGGCAGGAAACCAGCAGCGCCCCTCACACCCCCACCCCACAGATGCAGTATATCCGGCAGCTCCTGTCAACGCCCCACCCACCCCCACCACTGCCCTCGCACAGCCCCAGATTGCTCCTCTCCACTCAGGTAGCTGCCCCTTCGCTGGCCTTCCGGCCTCAGGGCATCCTCACAGCTCCATTAATCCTCCTAAGGCACAGCTCAGGGTCTGTTACTCCCCAGCTCATAAACCTTCAATGATTCCCTGCTGTCCACTGGACTCAGGTCAGTCTCCTCTCCTGACAGTCAAGAGCTTCCATGAGCAGCCCCATTGCGTTTCCAGGTGGAGCTCCCAGGTTCTGCATCCACTGATCCCAGCCTTCACACGCCAGGCTCTTCCTGACTGCCTTTGCTTCTGCAGTTGCTCAACTTGAATGCCCTCCACTGTCTCCGAAAGGAGGCTGCCTGAGACTCTGGCTGCCGTGCCACGAAAGCCACCTGCTTCCCAAGTCCTGGCTTGGTTCTCCAGCCACATGAGTGCCTCTCTACAGTGGGATTCTAGACTGGCAAGTCTGTATCCTCCAATCACTTGTGGCTCTTAGAAGATGGGGTTCAGACCTTGTTCACCCAGATAGGCCCCTCTCCCTGCCTGGTCCAGTGCCTGGCACACAGTGGGAATGTGTGGCTGTGTCTGCACTAACATAGAATGAGCTAAGCTACAGTCCGAGAGATGGTGATTGGAGAATTTAAAAAGCAATTTGAGTGGAACGAGCAGGTGGCTTAGCAGTGAAGGCGCTGGACTCCTACGTGGTTGACCACAGTTTGAGTCCTGGACTCAGTGGCTTGAAACACATACAGGCATGTGTGTGCACTTCCCCAAAATCTCAAGAGGAGAATAGAGGAAAAGGATTATAGCATGACCATCTCCCCAGGGGGTGATTTCTTGATTTCTGTCTCTCTGTGTCTCTGTCTCTCCAGTGAGTGCATGTGCCCTATGGTAAAAATCTCTCAAAAAAAAAAAAAAGAAGAATATGAGCACAAGTTTTAAGAGGACAGAAGAAGGCTGGGATGCTTGTGGGGAAAAGAGAGAGAATAGCTCATTAAATATAGAATTTCATTCCACCCAGCTTGGTGCCCAGAGTTAGGAGGATGGAGAACTGCCTGCCAGAATTAACTACTATCCTTTTCTCTGAGCCCTCGGAGAAAAGGAGCTGGGGCTGGTGCACAGAGGGTGCTGGGGAAGTGGCAGTGTTTTAAGCACTTTTCCATCTGCTTCCTGGGAGAGGGTGGGGAGTGGGGGTGGGGGGAGCTTCTTAGTGCATCCTGTCTTCCTCCCGCCCTCCCAGCCCCAATTGCAGAATTGAAAGTAACACCTTGCAAGCTGGAAGCACATTCAGTAAACAGAACAAGAGAGCCGCCTCCACCATGACTGCCTCCACTGTGAAGTCCAGAGCCTGGCTCCTAAGGGACAGTCATTCATTCATTCATTTGACAAATGTAAGACAGGAAACACCAAGTAGACCACACGGACCCAGTCTGGGTTTTCTTGGAGCTTAATGGTCTGGAGGGGAAAACACACACACACACACACACACACACACACACACACCTCTCTGAGGGACAGCAGGTAGGAAGGCCTGATTTACAAGGGAGGCTAGGCACGCTTCCCCAGAGAAGTTATTATTGGATCTAATGCAAGGCTTTTCCCCAGGATATTGAACTGGGACATGCCCTTGCTTCTGGGCTATGGTCTCAGCTTAGCTACTTTAAAAAAAAAATTATTGTATTGTGTTTTATTTATTATTCGAAGGATCATTATTTTTTGAGAGAGAGAGATTTTTGCTATGGGGCGTGGGCATTCTTTGGAGAGACAAAGAGACACAAAAAGCAAGCAATCACCTCCCAGTGGAGGATGGTCATGCTGCAATCCCTTCTCCTCCATTCTCCTGTTGGGATCTTGGGCACGCACAAGCGCCCAACGTGAGTTTCAAACCATGGTCAGCCATGTGGAAGTCCAGCACCTCAACCACTATGCCACCTGCTGGCCTCTTATTATTCTTTTTTTTTTTTTTTATTTTACCAAGCTGCAGCAGAAC